GGCCTCGTGGGCTCTGCTGTCCTGAAGACCGTTGTTTCAGTCTTTGTGTCTGTCCGTCTCATTGTCCATCCTCATGCTGACCCTCTGCCTTTATAAGCTTGAAAGCCTTCCCAGTGGCTGGCCCTCCTCCAGGCAGATTTGCTTGGGTCCTTTGCAGTTCCTGGTGTGTTCAGTACCCTTTACCAACACAGGTGTTGTCCACATATATCCGTAAAGCCGTTGATGCTACTGTGAAAGCTGGGACCAGCCCCAGATTCCTATCCATGTAACCCCATCACGCCAGCTCAGACTGTACGCGGACACGAGGCTGTGTCTGTAGAATGTGCTGAGTGCCTACGTCGTTGGGGAGAACTTGTCTTGGCCTCCGTTGGGCTTCAGCTGCTGGCAGGTGTGGCCTGGCTCCCCAGCCGGGTTCAGTCAGTATCCGCGCGTAGATGTTTAAACTTGGCTGCTGGTGAGCGGACTTTGATTCCTGGTGGTCTGTAGGACCGTGGAGAGAACTGCCTGCTGGGTTTATGGGCCGTGACCTTTACGCTCCTGTAGAACCACAGAGGGATTCAAACAGCTGATGCTTTGGTTTGCAGTCAAGCACATGACTCCTGAGCCAACAGGACTCCCTGAAAGTATGTGTGCGTGGTTTTACTTGTATGTGGAAAATCTGGAACCAGCTGGGATACTCAGCAGTGAGGAAACTGGACAGAGCATGCGTGTGGAGAGTGGTCTGAAAAATGACAGCCCCCGCATAGCTCTATGGGCATAAAGGAGAAGAGGAATGCTGGACTCAAACGGGGACCATGACAGAAGGGGAGCTTCCAAAATGTCCGTGGTAAAGGGAGCTCTGGTGGCAAGAAGCTGCACCGCAATCCCAAAGGCGCGGACTTTGAATCCACCAGATGCTCTGCTGGAGAAGGAGATGCAATCTCCTGTGCCAGTTGGATCCTATTCAACAAGGAGGAAAAAAAGTCTGGTGTTTAAAAGACCTGTATTACCTTCGTAGTTGAGAAAAGATTCAGATAGAGTTGCATTCAGACAAAATAGTTGAAGGCCTTGCAGCTGTTGAGGACCAGTGGCTGGCCGCCTAGCAGTGGCTGGGACGGAGAACTCCCGCCGGATTGTACTTTAGAATGTTGATTACTGGAGTGGAGGCCCGCGGTTTGGGTCAAGGTCACATTTTGTCCAGTGATGTTTCTGCAGAATCCGTCATTAATGTGCTGGTTAAGAATCCAGATGTATGCCATGGGTCCTTCTGGTGGTGAGAAAGGCCTTCTAGAATGTTCCAGAGCAGGAGGTAGAAGAGAGGAGTCATGGCAGGGTCCAGCACAGAGTATGCACTTGGAACCAGCTCTGTGGATGTCACTGCCCACCAGAGCTTGCTGACTGTGCTCCTGGCCGAGTGTCGCACCTCAATGTCCACGGCAGTAGGTAAGCGCCATCCACACGCACCTCTGCAGGTTGTTGGGCCAACAGAGTTCAAATAGGTGGAGGGCTGACAGTGGTGTCTTGTAGGCATTGTTGTTTTATGAGCCATTCTCATTTTGTGGCCATAGATTGGAGAGTGACGCGTGTGTTCACCTGAAGTCCAGCTGTTGGAGTCCAGAAGGAAGGCCAAGACGGCTTCATCTGTTCTGCAGGCTTTCTGGCGTGGTTTGGGGCACTGTCTTTGACTGAGTTGTAGTTGTAGGGTACCAGTGGGCTCCCACTCATAGCAACCCCATTACAGCCGATCGGACTGTCCCTTCCTGCACGGTCGGTCGGCTGTGACTTAGCCACGGTGTCAGTCCACTCACTAGTGGGCCTTTTTTCCCCCTTCACTGACCTGCTTCGCCAGGCATGTCTGTGTCCTTCTCTGTGAGCTGGCCCTTCCTGATAATATGCCAGAGGATGGGAGGTGAGGCTTCACCGTTAGTTCTAAGGAGTTCTCCAGTAGCCCTTCCAGGAGAAGCACTTCTCTGTCCTGCTAGTCCAGGGCACAGCAGCCTTCTCTTCTAGCACCACAAGTCAAAGGTCTCAGTTCTTTCTTAGTCTTCCTCATTCGCTGTCCAACATTTACATGCATGTGAGGTGATTGAAAATACCATCATTTGAGACAACAGCACCTCAGTCTTTAAAGTGACATCGTTATTATTTTTTTTATTCTTATTCAATTTTATTTCAAGGGAATATTTCACCAATGGGCCAATTGGCAGCATCATGTTAGATTGGTGAAGAGTTTGAGATTTTTAACAGCTTTAGTTTTCTTGGCTCCACAGTCAATACTTTTGGTACCAGCTGCCAGGAAATGAAAAGACAAATTGAGAAAGTCTGCTGTCAAGGACCTCTCCAAAGTACTGAAGAGCAGTGATGTCAGTTGGAGACTAAGGTGCATCTGATCCAGGCCATAGTCTTCGTAATCACTTGCTATGCATCAGAGAGCTGGATAATGACTGGGGATGCTAGAAGGAGAATTGATACCTTTGAGCTGTGTTGGAGAACAGTATTGAATATCCCATGGACTGCTAGGAGAACAAATAGGTTTGTCCTGGAGAGGGTGAGATCAAGCTGCTTCTTGGAGGCAAGGATTCTGAAGCTTCATCTGACATACTTTGGATATGTTACAAGGTGGGACCAGTCCTTGGAGAGGGATATTATGCTTGGGAGGGTGGTGGGACAGCCCAAGAAGAAATGGGTTGATTCAGTGACTCTGGTAATGGGGTTAGTTGTGTCAGAGACACTACGGTTGGCCCAGGATGGAGCATGGTTTAGGGCTGTTGCCCATAGGGTCTCTGAGTTGCAGGCGATTTGATGGCACGTAACAGTATTCACTGGAGTTGGTGGTTTTGTTTGTTTGTTTGTTTGTTTTTTATGTGGGAATTTATTACTAGGACATCTTCATCAAAACTTTAAGACCTTGGCTGTTCCTTCTTGCCTCTGTATAAGGCCAGAAGAGACACACTGGCCACTTTGACAACCTTAAAGCGGACTCTAGGAATGTCACCGACAGCATGACCTTTGCGACCAGATCCAGCAACAAGAACTTTGTCATTTTCCTCGGTAAATTCAGGCAGCTGTCATTAGGCACGGAGGCTTCGACGTTCTTGCCGAGCAGGACACTGGCAGAATTTGGCTGCTTGGCCTCAACACCTGCTTTTCCAACACAATTCCTTTTGGATGAGAAACGCCTCCAAAGGGGCTGGCCTTCAGAGCTGTCCCCAGATGGGCTTTTGTACTGTTTATCACGTCACTTCTGGTTGCACCGCTGGCTGCGCAGCTTCCTGGCTGTACAAAGACCTCAACGCTTGTCCATGCTGGTGTGAAGAGACTTAAAAAAAAACAAAACCATGCTCAAATCAGATGTGCTCCGTCTGTGGGAAGATATGGTGGAGAAGTGCATGTCCTCAGAGCAAGGCCAGGTGCTGACTCAGCCATCAGTTGCTCGTATGCAAGTTCAGATTAAAGCTTAAGAAAATTAAAACAGGTCCACAAGGTGGAGGGGCAGCTGGAGAATGAGGGATGGTGCTGGGTTTTACTAGAGAGGAGGAATTTTGGAGGATGAGTCTACAGGTCTTTAGATAAAATAATTCCCTGACTTTGTCCCTAAGCTGTCTGCCAGAACACGTCCTATCTCAAAGCTCTGCTAGTGCTGCAGGGGAGCGGTTCACACCGGCCTGGTTCACGAGGGAGCAGTTCACACTGGCCTGGTTCACAAGGGAGCAGTTCACACTGGCCTGGTACATAGGGGAGCGGTTTACACTGGACTGGTTCACACGGGAGCAATTTACACCATCCTGGTTCACACAGGAGCAGTTCACACTGGCCTGGTTCACAAGGGGCTGGTTCACACTGGCCTGGTTCACGAGGGAGCAGTTCACACTGGCCAGGTTCACGAGGGAGCAGTTCACACTGGCCTGGTACATAGGGGAGTAGTTTACACTGGACTGGTTCACACGGGAGCAATTCACACCATTCTGGTTCACACAGGAGCAGTTCACACTGGTCTGGTTCACAGGGGACTGGTTCACACCAGCCTGGTACACAGAGGAGCAGTTCACACTGGACCTGGCACACGGGAGTGCTTCACACTGGACTGGTTCACGGGACCAGTTCACACTGGACTGGTTCACAGGGGAGCAGTTCACACCAGCCTGGTTCACGAAACCGGTTCACACTAGCCTGATACACAGGGGACCGGTTCACACCAGCCTGGTACACAGGGGAGCAGTTCACACCGGCCTGGTACACAGGAGAGCAGTTCACACTGGACTGGTTCACAGGGGAGCAGTTCACACCGGCCTGGTTCATAGGGGAGCAGTTCACACCGGCCT